TGTTGGGGGGGGGGGCCCTGTGGTCAGTGCCACATATAGCAGCCATGGCTGCTATGCACTGCTGTCAAGTGCTGCTGGTTCCGGCCACTCTCCTCCCCAGGCACTGCACACCCCTAGGGACAGCTCTGCCCATTAGGCAAAATCCTATTACTATGTAGCCCCCAACTTGTTCTCAGAACCCAGTCCATTTTGGACTGAATAAAGCAGAGGTCTGAGCAAATAATGTGTACAATCACATTAAGATAATTATCATGCATATGTACTAGAGTGTCATACAGGCAACCCACACTTAATGTTCTTAATTGGTTCCTGAAAAACTGAGCGTTAAGCAAAAATGAAAATTTCTGACAATCCAAGATGGCAACTGCAAGTGTTTTTCATGACCCAAGATGGTGACCATAAGCATTATAATGAAGCTCGCTGAGTGCTAAGTGGAAAAGTAAAGTGAGCAAAATGCTGGCTTGCATCCATAGATGTTTCTCAAGCAGATCCCAGGGTGTCATTCTCCCCTTGTACTTGGCCTTGGTGAGGCTGCAGCTGGAGTGCTGTGTCCAGTTTTGGGCTCTACAATTCAAAAAGGATGTGGAGAAGCTTGAGAGAGGCCAGAGAAGAGCCACGCGCATGATCAGAGGGCAGGGAAACAGACCTTACAACGAGAAGCTGAGAGCCATGGGACTCTGGCAGCCTCAACCCAGTTTTTCAGCTTTTGGTGATCCTATGCCTCACGGGTTCCCAGCTCATCAGCCTTTTCTCTAACAGGGAGTGGTATTAGTTTGAGATTAGACATCTATCAAAGGAACTTTGGAGTAGAATTAACTCATTTGCTGAGGAGAGAGAATCAGAAAGAGTCAGCTCCCATAAAACATCACTTATTCCACTCTACCTCTCACCACTGTGGAAGAGAATCACTCTCTCATTGCCTCACCTAACTGGTACAAGCTTCTCTGAACCTTTCTGGGTAGGGTGGGATGTAAATAATAATCTGGAATGTGTTGTGTAATACAGTGCAGATGAGCTATAAGTGAAACAAATAGAATCCTTGTTACAGACCTCTGAATATACTTGTGCAATAGCACTGAATTTGCTGCTGCTATTGTTCTGAAAGGTAAATGCTCTTTTATACTTTATTTTTCCATTGTTCTCCAAGATGGTTCATATTTGTTTATTTAGTACCTTGATGAAGCCTTGCGGTCCTCTTCCTTGTTATGTTTAAATTTTGACTAAAGGTTGTTCCTTTACTACTTTGCTCCATGAAAATTATGGGATCCTGGAAGACAGCTAGTTGTGGAAATAATAAACAAAGTCTATTTTGTGATGTGCTGTCCTTGCTTTTTTATTTTGTTCACTTACAGATTCACAAGATCCAGCAGTTTGCAGTGGGGTGACCCAGGCATTCATTAGTGCAAATTAATGAAGTTCAGCTGTACTATTCTTAGCTTGCTTCAGTTGTTGCTTATGCAAACCACATAGATTTTCCAGCATCTTAAGTCAGTCTCCAATTTTATTGGCAGAGGGAATTTATTATCATTTAAGTGAACTTCCACCTTAAATGTATTTGTGTACTGCATATTTGATGAAAACAGCTCTAGGTAGTATGGTAGAAGAACTTGAGTGATGAAAAGTCCTGCTGTTGGGTAACTGCTATACAGGAAAGCAGTCTGAGCCAATCAGAATCACTGCTTTTATCAAAGCCAGTTGCAGGGTAACAGCTCCACAGTTAAGTTGTGCATTTTGAAAAACAAAGCATAAGAATCCAATATGTAGAAAAATAAAGTTTGGCAGAATTCAATTGCTATATTGAAAAGGTACAACAACAGGTATAGCAGTATTTTTCTGCACGTACACTTTTAGCAGTGCAATACAATAGATATGTTACAGAAATGTTTTAATCACATTCTAAGAAATCAGGTTTGTGTGTACAAAATTTGGTATAAGTTAAATTTATAATGGAATTTACAGTGAATATTGAAAGCATGATACAAGTAGTAAGATTCAAAATGTTCTCTGTAATAAGGAAGCACGGTTTGCTAAAAGTAGCGTTTAATAATTCACATGAGTAAGATTATCATTTGTTAAACAGCTTTGCAGTTCAGCAAATGCCCTCAATACTGATAAAACACCTTTAAAATTAAATTGTATGTTATTATGCACATAGGACAAACCTGGCCTATGTAAAAGAATGGCAGGATTTAGATACAGATATTTAAATTTGGGTACATCCAAACTTAAAGGGATGAAAATATTTAATACTAAAAGAAAATTAGTATTGAATTGTGCAAGGCTTATGTAGCTGTCATTCAATTTGGGTTTTCCAGATCTATAACAAAAACTGAACATGAATATAAAAGCAGCAGAAGTTCGTATCTTTCATATATTCTTCAAATTGCATCATTTACCCTACGTAATTTAAGTACATCACAGATTAAAAAAAAATACCTGTAAGACACCAGACCAAGAGAGAACATGTGAGTTTTTTATTCTTTTCTCTTTACCTAACATACTCTTGGTAATAATCCAAGGTAATATGTAAACAAATTTCAATGCTGCTCAATGAAATAAAATACTCTGTTCAGCTCCTACAGTAAGTCAGAACAGTGGCACCAATTGCTTGAAACATTAATCACATTCATCTTATTGAACATTACTCTTGTGCAAGTAATAAAGGCTTTATTCATGACCTTAGCTACATAAATGTAGGAGAGGGATATCAGTTATTTTAAGTATTTAAGAAAAAATTAAACTGACAGAAGAAATTCTGTCATCTCAAAAGCCAGCAGCATTTTTCTACATATTTAAGATAAGTTTGGCCTAAGCCTTTAACACCTTTTGGAACAGCCATGCAATAAAACAACCTTGGAGATGTTTAATGAATGAGAACACAGAGCAGTCTGCACATTTTTTCTGAATAATAAAGCCAAGGTAAAGCAATCCAGGCCCTTTTAAATGGCTGCAATGTTTCATACACTTAAAGCTCTATAAAACTAGAGCCCACCAGTATATATATTCAAATATATTTTTAATATATATATATAGTTTAAATAAAGTCTCTTGTCCACTTTCAAAACTTGATTTTTTTTCCTGGTCTTTTGAAGGGGCAATAAATAAAGTAGAAAAGGCTGAACTGTTTTGCATATCTCTGTGGAAGAACGGCGAACATTTCTACTTTAGAGTTCCAGAAAGATCACTGTACAGAACAAAAGCTTATATACAATCACATGTGCAATTTTAGTTGGCTGGGCCTTTTACTAATGCAAGATCTCCTCTTTGCCCAGAAGCCCCTTCTACTCTTGACCAAATCCTTCTGTCTCTTCAATTGCAAAAAGCAGCTTCTCTTTCAGCTGTTCATAGCTTTTATATGGCGGCAGATCCAAACGATTAAAGCTGGAAGAGAGACAAAAAAGAGGTCTTACAATCTGTCCAAAACCCATTTAGCATTTTGTCAATTACAATTTCTTCTTTTAATATTAAAAAATTTAAATGTTGCAGGTAGGACATTCAACATATTCTAAGCTGGGAGTGACTTAATGAGGTCTGGCAGTAAATGGAATCTTATTAAATTAAGATTATATTGTAATTTAATTATATTGAAATTATTAATACCTTAATCTGTATAATAATGGGCAAGTCAGTTACCAACCGCTTCTCTGGGGACAAGTGTTTTCAGATCCACAAATAAATACATGTGGCCTCTTTTCTCAAATCACTGTTGAGCATGGTTCAAATGTACATAACTATAATTATGTTATAAAAATTTGGAGCACAGTTCACACTTACATGGATCAGCCTTCCTGAAAGGGGGAGGTTTATTCAGTTACAGGGTTCTTTGAAAGTTAAACTATAGAGACAACATTATAAAATTAAAAATATCTGGCTGCCTTCATTCAGTGCATTCAAAACATTTATTAGCTAATCCCTAAATCACTTTATGAGTCTTCAATGAAGGATATGTAACCTGATCAACTTCTGTATTCCAGTTGTGTAATGACCAGGACCTGCTCCCTTTACACATCCATATATAAACAATTTCAGGCATATGCCAATTCTACGGTCTCCTGTAAACAGACATAACTTCCATGAAGTCTGCCTGACAATCTCACTTTTTGAGGAAGGCTCCAACAGAACCAAAAGGCCGTTTGAGATGACCAAGAGGTTTCAAAAGCAAAAATGGATAAGTTTTCAGACCTTCCTTGAATCACTGGGGACTAGATGACCTACTCAGGTCCCTTCCAACCCTAGAAACTATGGATGAATCATAGAGGAAGTCTGTTACATAAAACTCATCTATTATGAAGAATGGTGGGGTCTTCATTTGAAATACTGATCGAACTCCGGCAGCAGTAGAAAAAGCTCATGTTTTTCTGTCCATCACACACAACCTGTTTACAGGAGCAACTCTTTCCCTGAAATTCTAAAGTGCTGTTCCTGTCATCTTTAGCAATTTCTGTCTGGCTTCTCTAATTAGGGAGGTAACATCTTTGATTTCAATATGGACTCACTCAAGAAGGCCATCAGATGAAAGCAGGGGAGGGGAAGGGGGGAGTAGGAATTCAGCAGTAAATGAAGGAAAAAGGTGTTGAATGTGCTGGCACCAAGATGGCATATAGAAAGAAGGGATCTTCCTTGCTCTAAGCAAACATTATTTATAAAAGATAACAAAAAACTCCTACACTAGGAAAGTATAACAGACATAGAAGTCAGCTAGGGTACTGCGGTCTGCTCAGAGCTGTGGTTAACCATCCACATTCTCAGATGCTCATCTAAGCTTTGAATGTTAACAGGGATTCTCACTTCATGATTTTTCTAGTAGCATTCTATACACTTTCTCACTATTAAATTATTATAATGAAATATATGACTATTTTAGCACCAATTCTGATCTGGAGCTTCTCTTTAAAAACCAAGAAGTGTGGGTCAAGTTTTCACTTATCTCACCTCCAAGGTATCCTATAACAACAAAAAGGAAAACAAAAGTTTTCAATACTAAGAAATGCACTAGCCACTCTAAAGCAAATGGAGATTAGGCATGGAGAGAAACTAAAGGCTGAGTCAACTAACCAAATTAGCTTTCATTTGATTCAGTTTTTACTGAACTGCAAAGCGATAAGAGAAAACATGTTATGGTACATTAATGAAAAACAGATACAAAATTAAATTTACAGTTATTCCCTGTTCAAATATTAGAACTCACCAAGTATGACTTCTTGGTAACCAGGTTTCCTTGCCAACTTTTTCAATGCAGAATTTCTGAGGGCCATTACTTCCTGAATAAAGAAAGCAATAAATTGATTAAATTAACTTTTGTTAAAAACCTGTAATGGTGCCATATAACTATTAATGTGTTTTACTGCTAGGTAACATGTAGACTAAAAAAAGAACCAGAGACTGTTGCTTACTCAGGATGAACATATCTATAAACTACAGCATAATATACTGTAGTAATATTACTCTTACCCATGAGCTCAGCAAATCCTCCCAGTGGTAATCGGCAAGTACCAGTGACAAACTGCAACAGTCGCATGCGAACCTCGTTGTCTGTCTCTTTTACAAACTAGGCACAGAAATTTAAAGTTACTTTAAAACAAAACTGAACAACACTTTGCTAACATAGCTAGAGAGAAATCACAAGATACAGGGAAAACTGATTCCATAAGAAACCTGAGAAAAATATACAGTGAGCTAGATCAGATCTGCCATCATCATGTGGCGGGAAAAATAAAAGACTCATCTTGGGTTAAATGCATGAAAGGATGCGGTAGCACTACTATGTGATGCAGGCTGGTGCCACCTAAGAGGAGTAGAAAAATAAATGATTTAAGGCTTGTTTAAAAAAAGAACAAACAAAGTATGTTGCATATCCATCTTATTATTGCTATTTTGATTGTTGCCACTTCAATCAGCTGGCCAGCTCTGGTCATTAGGCTCCAGACTTAGATGGCACAAATAGCCATAATGGGCTAAGTAGTTCAGTTTAAGCAGTTTTTACTATTCGGGACAAATAAAGCATAGATACTTATCTAGCATGCGTGAGATGACACTAGGTCTTACTTTAATCTTGACCTTCTTAGAAATTAAATCTGAAATAAATACCAATACTCTAAGAATGTGGAAATGGTATCTGACTATTTCACCTTTGCTAAGAGTCTTTTAATAATTAGTTTCTTGGGAACTGCTACTTTTGTAACGGCTCAATCACTAGACCTTGGATTATGCTGAACAGTTCACGTCAGTTAAAGGATCCCAGAGTTTGACTTTTCATGTTGGCTTCATACGGCAGTTTAAAACAGATTGTATCACATCACAGAAGATGCAGCAGCTGCTAGTGTTGCTTTCAGCATTCATATGAATTCAGTGTCATTTTTGGAATTCACTTCCTTTTCCCCTCACAACTGATGAGACGTACAATCCTGATAGTAATTCTGTAGCAGTCACCATTAAAAATATCAATATATTATCAACAGGTACCACAGGCTCCCTACCAGAGTTTACCCTGTACTTATCATAAAGTAACCCCAGATAAATGACTTCATTTAAGGCACTGCAATGAAAACCACTGTTGCAGCTAACAAACTAAGGAGTTCATTTTCTGAACATGATGTACTACAGTATAATGATAACAGTAATATTTATGAAACAAAAAGTTTCTAAACTATGCAGATTAATCTCCCAAGCATTTTTTATCCAAGTAACCAAAAGTTTCTCAGTTTCCTTTCACCACACCCTATAACAGCTCTCTACAAAGCTACAACAAAATTACTGATAGTTTAAAAATGCATGCCATGGGCTAGAAGCAAAGTAGTCTAAAATGGAGATTAAAATTTAGAGCAATATCTCAAAATGGCTGTTGAAAATATTTATTTGTTTTACCAATAAAAAGGCCCAACAAATTTCTCTCTCATGCATGACAATCGGATTACAGTTGAGAATCTGTCTTTATGCCCACTGTCCAAGAAACAACCAGACAACTCACATTTTTGGAGCATCATACCTGCCAGAACCATATGATCTGCTTGCTATTTCTGGTGTAATGACGATAAACAGTGTTCCTTTGCCAGTCTGCTAAATCAACTTCTTGCATGCCACAGAGCATAACCTACAAGAAAAAAAACCCACTTCAACTACTGGTCCATTGCATCACTGTAATGTGCATACCAAGAGCTAAGCCCATACTCTAGTGGTAAACAATGATAAAAAATAAGGAATTTGTTTGAAATATGTAACTAAGATCTTCTCAAGCTTCTCCCCACCCTATACTTACCTTAGAGCAAGGGTGGCAAATACATGGCCCATGAGCCAGATCCAGTAGGTCTTTCAGCCCATGTGGCTTCTTGCAGACTTAGCCCATGGGGCTCATCACTGCAACTGCCAGAGCTGCTGTTTCAGCACAGCTCTGAAACCTGGGAGGTTTCAGTTTCTAGGGTCGGAAGGGACCTTAGCAGATCATCTAGTCCAACCCCCTGCCATGGCAGGAAAGAGTACTGGGGTCAAACGACCCCAGCAAGGTGTTCATCTAACCTCCTCTTAAAAACCCCCAGGGTAGGAGCCTGCACCACCTCTCTTGGAAGTTGGTTCCAGACCCTAGCCGCCCTGACCGTGAAATAGCGTCTCCTGATGTCCAACCTAAATCTACCCTCTGCCAGCTTGTGACTGTTATTCCTGGTCACTCCTGGCTGTGCTCGGGGGAACAGGGACTCCCCCAATGCCTGCTGATCCCCCCTGACTAGTTTATAACAGGCCACTAGATCCCCCCTCAGCCTTCTCTTGTGGAGGCTGAACAGGTTCAGGTCCCATAGCCTCTCCTTATAGGGCCTGCCCTGCTGTTCCCTGATCATGCGAGTGGCCCTTCTCTGGACCCTCTCGATGCTGTCCGCATCCCTCTTGAAGTGCGGCGCCCAGAACTGGACGCAGTACTCCAACTGCGGCCTGACCAGTGCCGCATAGAGGGGGAGGATCACCTCTCTGGACCTGCTTGAAATGCATCTGTGGATGCATGACAAGGTACGGTTGGCCTTCCTAACTGCCTTGGGTTAGGAAGGCCAACCGCACCTTGTCATGCATCCACAGATGCATTTCACCGTACCTTGTCTGCCTCCTAACTTTCCGAGTGAACGGCATTAACCCATTCACTCAGAAAGGAGTGAATGGGTTAATGCCGTTCCCTCCTTTCCTGCCAATATCGGGGTCTTTAATTACTCCAGATTAAGAGAAGAGAAATGCTGGGGGAAATACAAGTAGCAGCAGCAGCATTAACTCCCTGGACTCAGAACCACACCTACTACATGGCTTCAGCAGCCACAGAAGCTAATGCCACTTGCAGGTCATCTGCTCCACAAGAAGCCCCACTGTCTAGATTTGTCCCATGGGGCCAACAAATTCAAGACCCCTTGACACGCTGAGAGAACAGTTATAAAAGTGCTCTGAAGTTGAGTTCTGCACATGCTACTCATTACATTCATTTGAAATTGAGGGTGGTTAGCATCTTGCTGGAAGAAAATTAGCAGCCTGTAGAGCAGGACACTACGTGAAAGCCTCTGATGCCCTTAGACAAAACTCCGAGTTAATTCAATATGGCCTTTTAAGATAGAGTCCACTACTCTAGGAGCATCCCCAACTAGTAAGGATATCAAAGACTATGACTACATTCTGGGAATGCTATTGCTTTATTTCAGCAGCAGCACTATGACAGCTAAGTTCCCTGGTTTGGATGGGACTCTTGCCCTTTTCCAATAGAAGTGCATCTACACTGGGGGTTTTGCTAACAGAGCTGTCACATACAGCTCTTTACAGTTTCTCATTTTCCTAAACGTTAATTTTTCTGGTTGAAGTTTGCCAAATCTGGTCTGTGAAAAGCATAATTGGTGCCATACATTGCCTTTAAAGATCTTAATTTCCTAACACTAATGTTCTCAAAAGAGCCTTTTCTCATTTGTTTTCTTGAATTAAAAAAAAAAGTAGAAACCAGACCACTGTTACTGGCATAAAGAAAGGGTTATTATTCTAGTGATATAACTCTGTGTGTGAGTGTGAGTGTGAGAGAGAGAACATTTTAAAAAAAAGAGGAAATAATCGCTCATTGTCTATCAAGAGTCTCTTGGCAAAGTGAATAACCACCAAGACAAAAACTCAATTTTTACACTTGCATTACAAAGTTACCCCCAGAAACATGGCTCAAAAATGAGAGCTATTTCCAAGCTCATACCTCTCTTACCTGGAAGCATAACAAACCTAATTAATCCACATAATGAATTAAACCCTATCACAGCTCTAGAACATATGGCAATATTACGCAATTTTATAGTTTGGGAAACTGAGGGCATGTCTTCACTACAGCTTCTATTGTAATAGCTATACCTCTACCGTTATGTCAAGAGTTCTCTAATGAATACACAATGCACATTGCCAAAAATGATTTATTTTGTTGGCAGTTCATTTCTCAAAAAAACTTAAGCCAGCACCAACCCTCTTCTGTCAGTGTTGTTACATCCACTGTAGAAGTTTTGTAAGAATACCTCTGTTGGCTAAGGGGTTTAATTTTTTCACATTCCTGCCTGAAAACTCTTCCAGCAAAAGTCTGTAGGGTATATCTGGGCTCAAGACAAAGAACATTTTGTGTGTTCAAACCCACACCTAATGTTTATGACAGAACTGGAATAGGTTAAACATCTCTTCCTTCATTCTTTTTCCTGTACAAAACACAAGTCAATCTTTAAATCGCTGAAATCAACAACCTATGGAATAAAAACATATCCACAAAGGATGAAAAAAACTGAAAATAAAATGCTAGTGCTACAGCCTCCAGTACTTAATCAAGTCCATTTATGACATGCAAAATGTTCATAATGACATTCTATCAATAGCTGTTTCACAATGTATATTTAACAATAATTGTAGTCAATATTATATTAGTAGATCTGAAAGAGATGCTAATAAAATCAACCCTAAGGACCATGAACCCCCAAATATTTAACAACCCAGGTCAACTATTTTTCAATTGGTATTTCACCTTCACTATTTAATGTTATATTTAAAATAGATTGGTTTCACTTTTCTAAAAAGTAAACCACTTTTAAAGTATAATTTTGTGTCCAAGTAAAACTTTTTTTTCACAAAAATACAAACTTGCTTATTAAAAAGTGTTTACACTTCATACAGTTAAATCTGTAAACTAAAAAGTAGAGATTTCATAGACATTAGGGCTCGAAGGGACCTTGGAAGACAGTAGAGTCCAGCCCCCTGCTCCAGGGGCAGGAAGTCAGCTGGGGTCAAAGGATCCCAGCAAGATAAGCATCCTAACATTTAAAAGAGTCCAGAGTAGGTGGTTGCATCACCTCTGGAAGGAGTCTATTCCATGCCTTGGGGACTCAGAAAGCAAAGAAGTTTTTCCTTATGTCCAACCTAAAATGGCCTTGGAGGACTTTGTGACCGTTGGTCCTTGTCATCCCTTGGGACGCTCTGGTGAACAGATGTTCCCCAGGATCCTGATGCACACCTCTGATGTACTTATTGGCAGCCACCAGGTCACCCCTGAGCCTGTGCTTTTCCAGGCTGAAGAGTCCCAAGGCTTTCAGCCTCTCTTCATAAGGCCTATTTTCTTGTCCTCTGATCACGTGCATGGCTCTCCTCTGGACTCTCTCAAGCTTCTCCACATCATTGTTGAATTGTGGAGCCCAGAATTGGATGCAGTACTCCAGCTGTGGCCTTACCAAAGCCAAGTACAGCAGGAGGATGACATCCTGAGTTTTACTTGAGAAGCATCTATGGATGCAAGCCAGAGTTTGGTTTGCTTTACCAGCTGCGACATCACATTGGTGGCTCTTTCAGCCATGGTGCTAAAGAGCGTAGTAGCACTGCCGAGCCTATACCGTGCTGCGAGTTTTCTATTAATTTCTATATATACTGAACTTCTAAATGTATCTAACCTACACCTACCTCGTATGATCAAGGGACAGCAGGGTAGGTCCTATGAGGAAAGGTTGCGGGACCTGAACCTGTTCAGCCTCCAAAAGAGAAGGCTGAGGGGGGATCTTGTGGCCTGTTATAAACTGGTTAGGGGGGGGATCAGCAGGCGCTGGGGGAGTCCCTGTTCCCCCGAGCGCCGC